GGACCGTTACCCACGGGAGTGTCTGAAGGCTGTCAGCAAGGTCATCATGGGTGATGCGCTGGAGGATCTGAAGAACCATTATCGAAAACGGTTCGCCATCGTGACGGTTACGATTCTCGGCGGGTTGGGCATTGGTGTTCTGGTTTACTTTCTGTGGCATAAATTCACCAAGCCAAAGAAGCTGGCCAACCCCTGGTCATCACAAAGCCAAACCACGCCTGCTTCGTTTTGCATCAAGCGGCCAGCGACATGGAAGCTGCCCAAAAAAGAGAAGCATCACAAGGCGAAAACGGAAAAGACTGAGAAGATCACAGCGACAACCACAACAACAGAGCCAACAACGTCAACCTCACACGCGGAAGTTGCAGCAGTCCCTGTCGTATCTCAGTCTTATTCCTCATCCTCGCGAACCTCCTCCGCCCACAGCGCCCGTCGCATACCCACACCCTACTCTCCCCCAACTTTCACCCGTCGCGACTCCTCCCCGACCCCCCCAACCTTCGACATCCCCCGCCGCAGCTCGTCCTCCTCTCGCTCCTCCCACTCCGGACCCCGCCTCTCCATCCTCATCGGCGCAGCCCTCACCCTCACCACCTCGGGCGCCTCCGCCTCCATCTGTGTCCGCGACCAACCCTGGACCCAGCACTTCATCACCTCCAAACTCTCCTCTTCCCAAAAGACAATCACCGGCACCATCCACGGCTGGTTCTCCGAGTGCTACCAAGTCCAGAAATGCAAGCAAAAGTGCCGCTACACCTGCTCCGGCGGCTCCTGCGGGAACAAGTGCACCAAAGAATGCCACATGGAGGACAAGACAAGCAAGGAGCCAAAGGTGTTTGTTGACGCTGCAATTCCGTTAGTGACAAAGTGCGGGTTTAAAATGGTGGATACGCTGAGTGGAGGTGAGACGCCGACGGTAAGGGTGGCAAATAGCGAGATTGAGAGGGGGTTGTATGTGAGGATTAGCGTGAGCGGGTATAATGTCACGGATGCAAAGAGGACGGATGGGAGTGTGGATTGTTTGCATGGGTTGGGGGATCTTTAAGTGTTTGTTTACTTTAGAGTCCGGGGGTTTTAGGGGGAGGAACAAGGGGGCGGATAAAGGGGTGATGAAAAAGGCACAGCGTAATGATGCCAAATTATGTTTTTGAAGCTTCTTTTAGTCATGTTCATACAGATATTGTTTTTCAAGAAACGAGGAAGCAAAAAGGGGGGAAACTTGCATAAAAGATATGTGTCCCCTCGACCGGAATCGAGCCGGTGACCTTTCGGTATCAATAAATGCCTTTACAGCCGAACGTGATAGCCAACTACACCACAAGGGGATTTGTTACTTGTTGAAATGGTGTGACGGGATCTGAGTTTGTGTGCCCTGGTTGAGGTGGAGATATGCGGGAATTATGCGTCAAACGGCGTGAGCTGGTGACATCGGGCCAAGAGGCAAGATGGCTGGCCTGTGCTTTTCACAATTCTTTGTTTGTGAAGACTCTTACTCACTTCAAAGCTCGAGACATGGTTTGAGAGATCTGATGTCTGGATGACGTGTCCCAGTGATTTGGTTCCTGCAGAATCTGTATCTTGGCGCTGAAGAAACATCAGACTAAACAGCCATCCCAATATCTTGCAGGCGGACAGCCCAGGCGAAACAATGATCGGGTGAACCCCACCAACCACTGCCAACCTCGCGTTTCATCAACATTTTCTACAGGCTAATCTTTTTGAAAGACTTCTCATCCGAATGGCTGTTCCCTGGAAATGCCTGATGAGGTGTTTTGCCCTTGGTGGGATGCTGACGACAGCCCCGCAGATATGTTCTCCGATTCAACCATCTGCCCTAGCTGTCACCACCAGGTTTCCTTGGCGGTTCCCGAAGCCCGAGACATTTTACATCCGATATCGATAACAGCGAGAAGCTTGAAACGCAGTGGCTTTCTGCAAGCTGCACCTTTCCGGCACTTTCTGCCAAAAAGCCAGGCACTAAATGGCTTGTCAGGTACCTGTCCGCTGGCAGAGACGGGTGGTTCGGAAGATGTACTGGGATAATCCTCTTCATAGGTTACACTGCTCGAGCTCCTACCGACCTCTTCTGCATGTAGGCACCCAACCACCAATGACAGTTGTCAATGCACAACCTTTGCTCCTGCTCACGTCGTGGACAAAAAATTGAGACTGCGATACAAGGAAAACGCCTTAAAAGATAGTAACTAGGTCTCTAGACTATCTTTAAAGGCATCTGGACTATTTCTTAAGGCCTATTCACTATCTTTTAATACCTATCGGCTATCTTTCACAGTCTCTATCTTAAGTAGCAGTCTCCTTTTGTTTTGTTTATGACGTGCTACTTTAGCGGCGGCAGATACCCATGACGATGGCGAGCCGCATACATATCTGTGGTGTCCTTTGTTGGTTCCCACCTGCGCAAGCGTGTCTTGGACGGATCAAGTTGTTGGAGTGAAGTTGGAGTCTGGGGAACCCACCGTGCCCACATACATCGCCACCTTTACGTGGTCCGCCCTGAAAGGATCTGTCGATCCATTGTGTACCCTCGCCAAAACCCCTGGAATTGAAGATCAGGAGTATGCATGCTTACTCACCACCAATGGGGAGTCTATAGACTGTGCTGTACATATTCCAACCTTCCCACCATCACCACTACCCCTTTCATTCTTTCCGCTGGCTTGTCCTCTTACTCTTTTCACCTCCAACAAACAAAATGAAACCCCCAACCACCACTCTTTTACCTCTCCTCTCCTTCTTCCCCCTCTCCTCCCCTCACCCCTTCCTGACCCCCAAAGTTGACCTCGGGCCCTACGACCCCTCCCTCATTCGCCGCTCAAATTCCCCCCACACCGGCTCTGGCCTCTTCTCCCAGCTCATCTCCCACTCCTCCCCCTCCCTCGGCACCTTTTCCCAACGATACTGGTACTCAACCGAGTTCTACTCCGGCCTAGGCCACCCCATCATCGTCTTCAACCCCGGCGAGCAAGCCGCGACGAACTTTGATGAGGCTTACCTCAGTGCTGCCCGATTGCCGGGGCGGATAGCGGAAGCTGTGGGGGGCGCGGTGGTGGTTATTGAGCATAGGTACTACGGGGAGTCGTCCCCTTATCGGACACTGACGGAGGAGAATCTGCAGTATCTGACGCTGGAGAATGCGTTGAGAGATATGCAGTATTTTGCGAGGGAGGTGGAGTTTCCTTTCGAGGTTGTTGGGGGAAACGGTACTGCTTCGGGAAATGTGACGAGGACGACTAGGAGAAGGGCGCCGTGGGTGTACACTGGGGGGAGCTATGCCGGTTCTTTGGCGGGGTGGCTGTCTAGGCTGGAGCAGGAGGAAGAGGAGGAGATGGGGAAGGAGAGGGCGTATTGGGCGTATTATGGAAGTAGTGCGGTGGTGGAGGCGATAGGAGACTTTTGGCAGTATTTCGTCCCGGTTTTGGACGCGATGCCGGCGAATTGTACGAGGGATGTGGAGAGGGTTGTGGTGTTTGTTGATGGGGTGCTGAATGAGGGGACAGTGGAGGAGAAAGAGGGACTGAAGGGGATGTTTGGGTTGGGGCGGTTGAGCGATGAGGATTTTGCTGCGTGAGTTCAACAGTACCTCATGCAGGTTGGGGCAATGGTGCGAGCTAACAGAATGTAGAGAACTGTCGTGGGGTCTGGCATCACTGCAGATGACGCAGTTCTACTCTGAGAAGATCTTGGGGTATTCACCTTTTTATCGCTTTTGCGATTATGTCGAGGGGACCTACCCGGTCTCTGTCAATGCGACGGTTCCAGGAGAGGAGGGTGTTGGGCTCCAAAAGGCGTTGGACGGATATGCGAGGTATATCAAGGACGATGTCATTCCAGGCTGTTTGTCTCACAACTCGTTTAATTTGTTTGGGCCCTACAGTGAAGCTAACAAGAAATGCAGTCTGCGCAAGGTCCGGCTACGATGAATGGCAAGACGAAAATAGTACCCTGTGTTTCCAAAATACCAATGCCTCTTCCCTGGCCTTCACCGACCTGTCAGTGGCAAACTGGGGGAATAGGCAATGGTGGTGGCTTCTTTGCAACGAGCCATTTGAGTGGTGGCAAACCACACCCCCTGCATCCTCGTCCTATTCAAGGGTTATTTCCAACTACACAACGGCAGAGTATTGGAAGTCGCTCTGCCCACGGTTCTTCCCAAACCTGACGTTTGACTTGGCAGAGGGCAAGACAGTAGTGGATGCCAACGCCAGAACTGGAGGCTGGGATGCCGTGGCGAATATGACGAGAACTATGCATACGAATGGAGACCATGATCCATGGCGGGACGCAACATTGAGTAGCAAATTTCGACCTGGTGGACCAGTGACAGAATTGGAAGAGGATGGGCTACAAGTGAGGGTAGTAAAAGGAGGTAGTCACTGCAGCGACTTGATTGGGTTGAACTGGGACGCTAATACTGCATTAGAAGAGTTGGTCAGCGGAGTCGTGGACCAACTGGCGTTCTGGGTAGGGCAGTATTATGAGGAAGACCACAAAGAAGTGGGCGGCAGGCAACAGAGACAAGCAGATGGAATCGAGGATTGATGATATTATGAAGCTGATGACCAGGGTTTTGTTTAAGTAACACAGAGGCTATGAGGAGTTATATATTTTGTGACAAGAGCTGGAGTTCAGGGCTTGGAGCAACATAGGTTCAATCCATTTTAATAATCTTCAGTGGCCTCAAGATCCTTGATGAAGAATCTTTTCGTCTCACTGCTCTGCTCTTCTGCTCATGTATTTATCTCTCTGAAAGTGGTCCCTGCCTGTGATGACCTAGGTATCTGCCAAGTCCAGTACATCCCTCTGATTATACATGAGCCAATAATGCCTCTGCTGCTGCCGGCTGTAGCCTGTTGCTTGTTTCACCTTCCAACAACTGGCTCAGAACTCGCAGTTCACTGTGTTGTTGGTTGTGATCCAGGCTAGGGTAGTTGACGTGTGCCATATTTCGAGAAAAGGACAAAAATGAATCAAATCATTGGTCTTTCCACCAGGAATTGAACCCAGATCTCGAGCGTTGTTGGATGACAAGCTCACACATTGATCACTACACTATGGAAGACTTAGTAGATGTTGGCACCTGCTGTAGGCTGTTGCTGACAATCTGCAGGGAGATAGCTATTGTCGACTTTTGTGTGTTGAGGTCCACAGCCAGTGATGGGTTCTGGGCTCAATGTGTTGTGTTTGTTGACACCCCTGACCTCCGACAGCTTCCCCTCAGTTCAAGATGATTCAGAGCCCCTACACCCGAGCCCTCTCGCCCAACCAACTGTCTACCAAAAGTGCGGCGGGACAAGACTCCAGCATGTTCTTATACTTACACCCTGTGTCAATCCACCCATGTTCGTTTGTCTTATCGCGAGCATCGAAGACCCGGTACTTCTTTGCTGATGTGTTGCTTCGACAGACGAACAAGTTATGCAGGATCCAGCGGTTCCGGTCATGTGCAAAATCTCCGAATGCCACAACCTCTAATGACGGGATGCCGGTTGGTCCGAATATTCAGTCCAGAAAAGAAGCAAAAGTGGGCTAAAGCATGGCTTCCAGGTCGTAAGGGCGCACGACGCTTCAGTTTTATGGCTCTTAGAGTAGTGGCTATTCTTTCCAGGATAATCGAGTGCCCGGGATCCTCTGTATTTGAAATCGGATCCTGTTTGTCAGAGATGGAAGAGTTTGATAGTGAGGCTTATGGAAAAAGGCTCCAACACCTCTCTCTGCATTCAATGGCCACGTGGCATTAGCCTGAGGGTGTAATTCATGAAAGACTCGTAATTACTCACCAGTGATTCTAAATACCGTCTTGTATTGTAAGGGAAGCCGATACACTCGAGATCAGCGCCGATATGGGATTGGCACTAGGATTTAGCTTCCAAAAGTCTTTATCTGACTGTGTGATGTCAAAATGATAGGCGTTATGGTTGTAGTCCATAGTTGCTTTGTGACAAGCTACCCCAATTATGCGCCCCCGTTGACACACTGCCAATCTCTTCAAGGTGACATGGTGCTGAGCAATGACAGACCATAAGGTGTTTAGCCTTCGTTTCGCTATCTTTCCCAGAAGACCGTAGCCTTCCCAATGAACAGTTCACTATTCCGTTAAAATATTATATAAATAGCTCTTTCAACCCCTGAAACAGCACGATGAACTTGCTAAGCGCGTGATCTTTCTCGTTGTTGCCCTCTTCAGCCTTTGACTTCGAAGGTTTCAAGACAAACTCGAGTCTTTGCGGCTGCATGCCATTTCAGAAAGCCTGGTCACATCCGACAGTTGCGTACGGTAAGAGACTCGAGGGTGCTGATATCGATAGCCTCTCGTAATTTCTCAACCAGGGAGACATTGCTGAGTGACAAGACTGTCAAGGATGGAACCAGGGGTTGTGATCTAGGCAGGAACTGACTGGAATATGCCAGAACCCCATTATCCCGGAGCAGTGGTAAGAGCCATCATCGAAATCACTGTCAACGTCATCACGTGTGACTCGCGGCCACACCAAGTCTATCTCGAGCTCCATGAGCTGCTCCTGATTCACGTCCAGACTCTCCTGCAATGAGCCAAGTAGCACGGTGCTGGGTCCATGCCAGCTGATGCAAGTCAAATGGCGAAATGGTATCGACACTTGTTCACATGGAGTACAACACTCGACATCAGTGGTCAGCCGGAGAGACCTCAGATGTTGCTGCTTTGCGAAAAGGGCGTCCACAACACTGCCGTGGATGCACGTAGCAAGATCCCAGCTGAGGCCATGTAGCTGACCGGTAGGGATGAGTTCAATGACCGAGCGAGCCATGCGGCTGAGATGATACATGTAATCGACCAGGAGCTGGTTTGCTCCATCTTGAGGGCTGACGCTTAAATCAACAAGATTAGCAACGAAGTCTGGCTCGTCATGAGGCTGACGGTGAAAGCAAGGCATAGCGGGTATCGGGCCGTGCCCTTGTTCGGGATCTTGCTTAGTGTTTGTGTCGACTATGTCTGTCGACTATGCCTAATATTTGCCAAGATGGCCATCGCAGATTTCGACAAAAGGACAAGCGCTACGTAAGGTCGGGCTGGCATTCTGAAGAACCGCCGCGCATTGATCAACCCGGTTGATGTCAAAGACGCACCGCTTGCGTTTGACGCGGGGTATCTCGACGCGGATCGTCTTCTAGAACCTAGGTGCGCATATCGTGTGGAAGAAGTTGGAGGTGAAGGATAATGACTTCAACTCCTGAAGGGATAACCTCGTTGTCATGTCGTGCAGGAGCTCTGCGGGGAAGTGGTCGAGTATGATGGTTGGTGACGAGTTTTGATGAACTGGAAGTTATATTCAAGTAAAGATGAATGCGAGAACAAGGAGATGAATCAGGAAGGGAAAGGTAGTGCACCGTTGGGGGGGTGGAGTGGCAAGCCTTTTGAAGCATGTTGGTCCCTAGCAGGGTTGAACCAACAATCAACCCCTGAATGAGCCATGGCAACCTCAAGGCAACTTCCCTTTTCTTTACCATATGCCCTACTTTGAACTTACGGTATGTTAGAGGCTAGCCAACCCCATGCGGGCCAATAAGTCAACTGTCTAGTACAGTGCTTAATGTTCGTCTAGTGCTGACACGAATTCACTGAAACCACCATTCAGCTATCTCAAGCAGATCAAGAGTGGGGCGAATAACACTGAGCGCAAATTGTGTTTGTTTTACTTTTGAAACGTTGACGGGTATTAGTATAGATATTCGTTGACCGTCTAGTCGGCCTCTCGTTTGTCCATTCTTACCAATCAATGTTAGAGCGAAATTTGGATCCTCTTATAGAAACAAGCCAATGGCAGTGCTCTGGACGATGCAGGCCTCATGCATACAGCCGTGGTAGCATGAGTCACCGAAGCCCGCTTCGTTTCTGGGGGGTATTGTCACGGGAAAGGTAGATAATCGAGGCAAGCTACGATAAGTCTGACCAATTTGATTAAATAGTAAGCTGAAGAGGGAAAAAGGAAAGTAAACAAAGTCAGGCTGCAAGCAGGGCTTTAGACATGGCCAAACTTGGACCTGTGAAAGCACCCACGTGACTCTCACGTGGCCTGCACTGCAGACCCACATGTCATGAGCCAGCGCCGTGACAGGTATGATGACAAAAGATTTATGTGTCAGAAAGTGGATGCCACTTCTATGAATGACATGGATGTCCTTCAGCGGTACAGCTGGCACGGAAAGCTGTTCGATGTCATCGTAATTAAACATGGCGCTTATGGATATCGAAAGGCTGGATATTCTCGCCTCAGCCTTGCCCCGTCTTCTCAACCCTGGCGGCGTGTAAGTCCCGTGAGCTTCCCTTTATTTGTTACTCAGACTGATATGATAAGTACGCAGATTTGTCGCTACAGTCCTTCACCCAGTGTTCTTCACCAGCAATGCGTCGAGGTCGATCTCCATCTCTTTCGACACAGAAACCGGTGAGCAGGTAACAACGCGCTCAAAAATAATTACCGAGTATCTGGACGTAGCTCCGTCGAAGGGAATTGCTTGTCCAAACCAGCTCGTCAAACAGATCTACTACCATCGCCCCATTCACGAGCTGTTGTCTGTCTTTTTGAAGGACGGGAAGCTGGTGATGGATGCAATCGAGGAGCCGGCATTTACCGAGGATGATTTCGACGACAAGAGGGTGGAGTCGAGCACGAACTTCACCCAGCTTCCGGCCATACTGGCTTTCAGATTGAAGCATCGAGTTGACAAGTTTGAGTAGCAGGGGTTCGTTCATATGGGAAGCCGAAGCCATGGACGAGAGACCATTTTCTTTTTGTAACAATTCCGTTATACCAATAGTACTTTCTATCATAGGTATACAGAGACTACCATAAGTGTGAGCTACAGATAAATATATAAAGATGAAAAGAGGTAGTTATGGTGATTCATCATTAGGTTTCTTGCTAAGATAACCCTGACCCCACATTTACCCCTGGTGAACCCTGAAGACTTGGTGGCCAAACAGCCTCCCAATAAACCGTTTTGAAAAGTGTCTGGGAATCTAAGAAAGTACGTTCTGATTCTCATCATTGTAAATTTGGAGTCGTCCAATTTTCTCTTTTCTGTTGAAAAGACAAATAGCCACATACCCACAGTATCACAAGTTGAAGCGCTTACAATTGGAGCATGAGAAACTGTAGGGCGGGCAATGTGTTGATTAAGCTGCAGATGTTCGATCTCGCGTTCAAAGTCAGTCGGGCGACGCCCATACCCTGATAACCCTAATACCCCTGCTCTGCCGGTCGCATGATACCCCTGAATTTACCGTCCTGACGTCCTGGTAATATAACATTTTCGCACCAAACAGTTGTCAAACAACGGTATGGGGTTCAAACTTAGTCAATTGGTTGCTTGTCTTGGGGAGAAAGGTCCAGGTGGCTGGCCGCCTTCGAACCTGGTGACCTGAATCCCACTGCCAAGATATTAATTTCCTTAACAGTGGGTCTCCCGACTAATTCAACAACAGTGAGTCCGAAGTGAGTGAGTACATCATTATTGTAACGGGCTGAGCCCTGGCATGGATCTCGGCAACCCTCGGCCCTGATTAAGCTATTCCCAGAACGCACAGACCACTACTCCAGAACCTTCTATCACCGCGCACTGGCCAACACGCCCAGCCATATCAGAGGCTCATGTTGTCAAACCTTCTCTTTCTCTTTTCCTTTTCTTCTTCAAGTTCAGTGTACTCGTAGAGTGGCCTAGCTAGTTGCAGAATACTACCTTGAGACCGTTATAATTATCTGTGGTTCTGCCAAATTCACATGCCAAGCCACCCACCCACGGGCTTTTTATCCTCCGCAGCCAAGACCCACTTTGACTCATCACTTATGATGCTGTTCATCTGCATGGTGTTGTGTGGAAGTCTGACTCGCGTCCGCCCAGCTAACGCCAGCCAACCAAAACTGAAACGCTCTCTCCACACACACAATGCAGCGCCTCTAACACATCAAAGTAAATTCCACGTAAGTTTCTCAACAAATAGTCCGGTATAGTGTAACGGTTAACATATCGCGTTTTCACCGCGAAGCTCGGGGTTCGATTCCCCGTACCGGAGTGGGACCA